AATAAAAAAGATTTTGTGGACAGTTACACTGTATTGAGACAGTTGAGAAATAATACTATTTTTACAGTTTTCAACAATAATTGTCATTGTTGAACCCTTGCTCTTATTATGTTTTTGATATCTCAGTTGTCATTATTTAGGCAAATCATTAATTTGATGTTTTGAGACAGTTTGTTTTAAGAAGTTTCAAAGAGTTAGTAAAAGAGTAAAGTAAAAGTAAAAAAAAAAAATTAAGTAGGCTATCTATTTTTTATTAAGTATTTATTTTGTATTTATACATAACCTCACTGTATTCATTTATAATGTATCATTATTGCGTGATATTAGTGTCAATAATCGTCAAGCACAGGTGACTCCGCGTAGTGGGAGGGGCCCCCAAATCAAATTCTGCTTAGGGCCCCCAAAAGGCTCGGGCCGGCTCTGTGCGAATTGAAGATAGTTAACTCCATCAGCAACATAAATTAATTGAATAACCATTCAGAAACGTCCTGTTGCATTCTACGTGTTGTCACTTCTTCGTGAGTCTCTCCATCATGGTCCGACTCCAGTTTAAACATAAAAGGCAGAACCGTGTCTGACATTTTAGAGCGTGTCTGCATGAGGTAATCAGAGCTGCTAACACACACACACACACACACACACACACACACACACACACACACACACATACAAGCTCTTGAAGCTCCGCCCTCTGTGCCGGGAACAGCAGCTCATTTGCATTTAAAGGGACACACCAGGGAAAGGGAAAAACAACACCTTTTTACTGACCCTCAAAAAGTGACAATTTTAACATGCTATAAAAAATATCTGTGGGGTATTTTGAGCTAAAACTTCACATACATACTCTTGGGACATCAGAGACTTATTTTACTTATTGTAAAAAGGGGCATTATACCACCCTTTAATGTTTGCGGAAGGACAAGAAACTATTTCCGTACGATGATAATGAAACTTAACATCTGAATTGTATGAAATCTTTTTGTAAATTTAGCACAAGTAGTTTGCTCTTAACTGGTGTTTTACTTAAATCTATGTCAGTCTGCATTCCTGAGACTCGTGTACTTGTCATTACCAGGGCGTCTGTCTTGTGCTCGCTGCTGTCTCTAAAAAGCTCAGTCTGTTTGAACGGTCTTGTGTTTTAGACAGGTGTATTGAAGGACTGCGGTGAATGTCGGAGATAAGAGAATGTGTGCTGAGAGCTGTAGATGTCTAGAGCTGTCAGATAGAGTGCTTTCTAACATCTGTCAACACATACAAATTAAAGCCCTTTTCAAATACACCAAATACACACAAAAAATGTTAGACCTGCCTAAAGAAGAGCTAGAGCTGATCCGATCACAGTACAACTATAAAAATCCTCAAACAGTAGATTAGCAGAACACATAGCAGCATCTTCAAGCGGTTTGTCTTGAAAAACTTTTATTAAAAAATCATTTGTGCCCTAGCTTGTTGAAAACTGATGGCTAATATATATTTTTTTTAAATGCCACACTATTTTTTTGTAACAATATTAATCTCATGTACTTGTTAAACATAACTCATTGCTACAGCATGAAAAAATGGTTACATTTTCTAAATGATTTTGTTAAATGTTTTATTCTATTAATTTTGATGTTTGTTTGTTTATTTGTTCTCAAAGCTATGCTATAATTAAGTTTTCCACATAGTCAAATGTATGTCTTTTCCATCACTGACCTCATTTATTCAAATCAAGTCTTCAGAAGGAAGTTGTGATCTTTTAATATAGAGAAATAAAATCGTATTTTTTAGCATGACATGAATATCATAATAACTCCATGGAGATTTTTGTAAGTATAAAGTTGTATTTTAACCTACAGTATTTATAATGATGTGAAATAACCCCATGGCAACTACGAAAATGAGTACATTACAATATGATGAGAAAGTGGAAGTAAGTTACAGTTAACCCTTAAGAAACAATAGTAGCATGTAGTGCTGAGGATTTGGTCGTATATCATGTCAGCGAATGCCATTTCTTTAAAACGGACAACAGCCCTTTTTATTTGCTGTCCTTGCATTTTTTTTCCTTCATTTGTGCACATGTGTACAGTAGGTATATGTTAATGGTATTGCTGAAGGCTAAATGTGATAACAATGTCATCAGTAGAGCTCACTGAGTTTGACTGAAGCCACAACATTTGAGTTTTGCTCTTCACTTCTGCAAACTTTCCACAGTGAACACAACTTCAACCTATGACTAAAAACAGTAAGGTACGAGAAGAAAGATTAGATCAATGTATTTAAACAGAAATGTTTGGATTATACATATATTAGGCCTGTTTAGCCTATGTTTATTTATTTATTATGAAGTTTTTTTAAACCATTTTAACAATGAAAAGATTAACCTTTTTTATTGTAGGTATTTGTATTATATATTTACTTTAATCGATTTGTCTTTTTGTATTTGATTTAATGTATATCTGTATCCACAGAGTTGAAGATATGAAACTCCTGCTACTTCTGATCATGATCTATGGAGTGGAAAAAAATAAATCTTTTGGACTATCTTTAAAAAACTACAACTCTAAACAATGTAAGTTAATCATCCTGAACTCACACAGTTTTTTATTATCATTAGAGATCCACTCCAGATCTCATTGAGACAGTGTGATTTTGCTTTTTTACATTACCTTTAGGAAATGTATTTGCATAAAGTCTGCACATAATCCAACACAATTTAACAACTTGTGCTCACCAAGTCTGCCTTTATTTGATAAAAATAGAGTAAAACAGTAAAATTGTTTTTGTACAATTGTCAATTATCTTGAAATGAAATGAAAATATACTTTATTGTCCCTCAAAGGGAAATTTGTAATGAACTCCATAGCCAGCATTTTGCCAAAACCTGATACATTAAAACATTACACAACATATTTATACACATCATACACATAAAAACAAATAGACTTCACTATTTCATGTTCAACAGTCTGTAGAGAGTTCTGTACCTTCTTCCAGATGGTAGGAGTTCATGAGATGGGTCGCTTAAAATCCTTTTTGCCTCATTTAATGTGCATTGCTCATACAGTCTGAATAGTCTTTCAGTCCAATCATTTTCATCCAAGTTCGAACAATATCTTTGATTTTGATTTTACAGAAAGATCACCGTACCAAGTGGACAGACCATATCTGTTCACACTTTACAGACTGATAAAAAAAAGGAACATAATTTTCCTATCAACTCCATTCATTTTAAATGATAATACTATTTTATAATATTATGTTTGTACTGTATTTTTGATCAAATAAATGCAGCTTTGATAAGCAGAAGAGAATTCTTTCAATAAAACATTTAAAAAACATTCCAAATTATTCCAAGTTCATTACATTTGAGCTAATCAGTTTTCATTTGTATTTTTCCTTGTAAAAAATGCAAATAAATAAATGAAATTAAATTGGAATAAGAACTTGAAGCAAAACCAAGTGTGGAAAAAAATTTGAAAAGTGTCTTACTACTTATGATCATTTTTCCCTTAATCTATTTTAGCGTCAAAAACAGCACCAACTGTTAACGCCTGTAATGAAGACTTGAACGATGTTTGCTCCTCACAGAAACAGACGAATTGTGATAAAGGACAACCAAAGATAACTCCGGGAAACCGCAATAAACAAACACCGTACAAATCACTCTTTTTTTATTTTTTATTTTTTACTATATTTGTACTATAGGCTATCAGTCTTGTGTTGATTTGGTTGTATCCCTGTTGATGTCATCATTGTGTAGAAAGCCGACAGAATGTATACACGACGTTATAAATACGACGAATGAAACGAAGACCTACCATTTTACCAATCTCGTTATGACCGTGGTTATGGTGAACATCAAGACATTGGGCCGTGTACCAATCACCGCTCCAAGTGTAAGTCTCTTCTCCCAAAAGTCTAAACGTTAGATTACATTATTTGTTAAAGACTTTAAGATGACACTGAGACTATAGGTTGCAGCTTGACAGTTTGAAAAGGTTACATAAAAATAAATGTGTATGTTTATATCATGACCTTTGTAGGCTAAGTGTTCACAATACAGTGAATTACTTCATTAATTCCTTTTTAATTTTATTTAAGTTGGTCAATGAAGCTCTAAAAATCGAGACATGGATCCCAATGGAGGCTTTCAAGAATGCCGCAGTGACCCAGCAGAAAGTTGGAGTAGTTGTCTATGATTCAAATCAGCAGTTTAATGTAATGTTTTTCATATGTTCTTCTGACTGTTTTATAAGACTCTTAAACCTGTTATTTACCCCTTCACTCTTTATTTTATAACCTGGCTGTCTGTGGTTGTTTTCACAGCAACATAATGCTATAATGTCCAAAGTCATACGGATTGAAATTATTGGACCCGACATTGTGAATTTGACAAATCCACTTATAATACATTTCCCAGTCAATAATTACACAAATCACACAAACGTAAGCATACCTTTTCAAATTTTCTCCAAATGCTCCAAAGTGTTATTAATTTGTTTATAATCTTTATTTGTTGATTTTCAAAGGGAAACTACATATATTCCTGTCGTTACTATGATGAAAAAGGTGAGTGAGAACTGAAAGGATATTTCACTCAAAAATGAAAACTGTCATCATTTACAACCCCTCATGTCGTTCTTAAACCAGGTGCGTTTTTTTTTTTTTTTTTTTTTGTTCATGGAACAAACAAATTATCATCGCGCTTCCTCATTTGAAACAGGAATAAACTTTGAGAAAACTTCCCTCACAGTCACACCTAATTATTTTTCAATTACTTTTTTATATTTCTCTTTTTATGACCGCACTGAAGCCCACTTGAAACTTACAAAACATTTTGAAAGATTATGAACGATTGTAACACATGAGTGTTAGTAAATCGTGACTTTTTTTGTTGTTGTTGTTTTTGGGTGAATTATCTCTTTAAAAATAGTGCTAAACTGGCATAAGCATTACTACATGCATAGGCCTAATTTAAATTTGTAATTTTTTGTGCTAAAATCCATTTAATTCACATGGAATATGCAGGAAACGACACCACCTGGAAAACGGATGGCTGTAACACCACTCAGATCAGTGATGATGTTGTGGAGTGCTCCTGTAATCACATGACTGCTTTTGCTGTGCTTCTAGTGAGTGCTGAGCCAATAATCCATGGCACTACAGAAATCATCTTGTGCTGATATTATTTTAATTGAATTGTTTCCCTCCTTCACTCTGAATAGATTGAGGTGAACAATATTGATGAACGCCAGTGGGAAATCTTGTCCTACATCAGCTACATAGGCTGCAGTCTGTCTGCGATCTTTTCTGCTTTCTGTGTCTTGTCGTTCATTTTCAACAGGTGCTGTTCCTTCTGTTTTCATATAAATGCATATATAATCCGTGCTTTGATTCACATTATTCTTTACACTAATACAAAGATTATGCATATAAACTCATCAAAGCAAAAAAACGCAAACAATACTAGTCAAAAGTTTGGCATAATTAAGGTTTATAATATATATATATTGGGGGGAAAGTATCTTTATGCTCACCAAAAGCAACATTTATTTGATGAAAAATTCTGTAAAACCAGTAGTATTATGAAATGTTATTATAATTTAAAATAACTCTTTTCCCTTAAAATATATTTAGTTGTAATTTATTCCTGTGATGCAAAGCTACATTTTTAATCACACTCTAAAAAATGCTGGGTTGTTTCAACCCATGTTTGGGTCAAATATAGACAAACCTAACCGTTGGGTTAAAATTTTAATAAACAAATTTAAACCAACGGTTTGGTTTGTCCAACCCAGCATTTTATAGACTGCAGTCTTCAGTGTCACATGATCGTTCAGAAATCATTCAATTCTGATTTGGTGCTCAATTATTAATAATTGTTTTTATTATTATCAATGTTCAAATAGTTCCCTTTCAAAGTGGATTTTCGATGCTGCATCATGGTGTTGACGCTATGGTATCTAACGTGTGAACATGCAAATTTTGATTGGCTATTGCAGTCAGGTGACACCACAGGCTATAATATAATAGGGTATAGTAGGACGGCTGAAGAACACGTCATCAGCTTTTTTGTCTTCAGGAAGCCGTTTGTCTGTCTGAGCGTGTGAATTTCCCTGCGTGTCTGTGTTTGTAAGAGAAAGAAACCATGACTAGAAGATTTAGGAGATGTATCATGCTGTTTGAAAGGTTTATCACGCCCGTTTAAGAGTGGAGCACAGTCTGTGATCATTTCACAGTGAAAAAAATCTCTGCTCCTACCTGGCTATCTTTAAAGGGAAATGGGAGCCAGGCGTCTGAACCCCATGGGTCGGGTCCGAGCAGGTGGAGCTGGCTGAGGAACTTGAGATGGGTTTGTCTCTTTCTCAAGTTTCATTTGCTAGCTCTGATACTTTCATGCCTGACCCGGAAGCCCGCTTGGAAGTTTCTTACAATCTGGTAGAGAGCATGTTGGCCCGGTCTAGTTCTGAGGAGCTAGACATAAGAGTTGAGATGGATATTTTAAGTGAGTCCGTCTGAAGTCTGGAGTCCGTGAGGAGTTAGTTGATGTTATGACACGCACCACAGCCACACTTAAAAAAAGACTAGTCGGTAGATACGGAGGAATCTTCTCTAGGTTGATTAGATGAGTGATTCCTCGTGGGTCATATATGCCCTTCTCCAAGCGGGCTTTCAATTTTTCCCAGATGAAGAGGTGTTGAGATCGTAGGAGAAGCCGCATAGTTATAGAATGTAAAGGTAGGGATGTCACGGTACCAAAATTCCAGTAGGCCTAGTCCAGACTGATCTTATGAAATGGCGTATGTATGACACGCCAATTCGTATTTCTATTTTTGGCGTGCTATCAACACGCATAATCTCTTTTCAGCGTGTTTATCAACGCCGTTGACTTAACGTTACATTACTGTATAAATATATGACCTACCCCAACCCCGTCCCTAAACCTACCCCATCCAAATATCTTCCCTATCTCCTACCTCCCCCTCTGAGGAGGCCGTGGGGTACAGTAGGTTGTTTTAGATGAGAATAAAACAGCATCTTGTTTTGAGGGAAATAACCTCCTCCCTCTCCCTCAGGGGAGGGTGATGGGGTACAATAATTCTGTTTTTAGAGGAGAATAAAGTTTTCCTCCCTTCCCCTCTAAGGAGTGTTCGGGGTTGTAGCGAGCTGACATAGGTTTGAGATGAATGTCTATGATAGTTATACTCTCTTCTGTCACCTTCCCAGGTATATGGGTATTAAGTGAGGTTACGCTCCTTCCCATTGCAACGCTGTGCAGGGTGTTTCCACTCGCTGGCTGAATTTTTAGATTCAGTGCCTACGATTCTAGACTGTTTTATGTCTCCAACAGGGACTGGTAGTTGGTATAGTTGGTATTGAAATCCTCCATGCGTCTCAGGTTACGCATGTAACCATAGTTCCCTAACGCTGCGTCAGCTGATGCAATGGGGACCCACAGGACCCGGTGTCTAAGACACGTGTACCAACTAGCCAATCATGGCCGATGCAGTGATGGCGTTGCAGGGTGCTCCCCAGCGTATAAAAAGGGCTTCAAATGTCTGAAGGAAGATGTGAAGGCATCCCTGAAGCATGGCAATGCGACGCAGCATCTCGTTCCCCTCTCAGGGAACCATGATTACATACGTAACCTGAGACCTTCCCTTTTGAGGGAACTCAATGCTGCATCAGCTGACGCAGCATTAGGGAACTATGGTTACATGCGTAACCTGAGACGTTCCCTTTTGAGGACACCAGGCAATACTACTATTTGTGTCTCACTCCATCATCGGTCGCCCACTCCAGTACTGGCAGTTTAGAGGTGGTAGCAATATTCTCCCTCTGTAATTGTATATAAATGGGCTGGAGAAGAGTGGGCAATACCTCCGCTCACATTCAACTTTTTCATCTGTCACCCTCTCCGGCTTGGAGTTTAGAGGAAACTCCCTTATGCTTCCCTTGGAATCACATTCGTATGTTTAATACATGGAATATGGAAACAGCGTTATTGCACTTCCCTTGGGATGCAACGGAAGGGGCTGTTGACAGAATAGGACAAGTGGGCATGACCATTAGTAGCATTCTACCTATCTATCTGTTGTCCCCTCCGAGATGATACAGAGGTTGTATCAATGTGCTTTCCCATATAATCACATATGAATGGGCTGTACAGCAAGGAAAATGGGCATTACCACTATTCACGTCTCACTCCTTCATTTTTCTCCCCTGTGGTCTGGACCTGGAAGTGTCGAAGTGATAGTGTGGACATAGTGGGGGGACTATGTTAACATGTCTCCTAACGGTTCGTCAGGATAACAGGTCATACAGTAAGTGCACTTTGGAGGAAGAAGTGTTTGATTCACCACAGCTGTCCTTCTTTATCTTTGGCCCCTCTAGCTTTGGAGGTAAGGTGTTGACAGGCTAGTGTCTACATACCCTTTTGATGGTCTCTTCCTGAAAGCACTTTCACTTTTTCTTCCTCAGGTAGAGCAGGCAGCTGAGAGAGCACAGCTCTCTCCTGAGGCCTTTCCCAGTCCTTAAGAATGGGATACCTAACTCCATGCTCCCTTCAGTAAGGTTCCCCTTAGAACTGATGGCCGAGGGATTGGATGGTCAGGGTAGCAGTACTTTAGTCTGACTTCCTCCTATTGGGAGTTGCTGGCAGTCGCAGAGTAGCTGCGGTCTCCCTAGCTAGCTCTTTCCCCAGATCAGTTATGCAGGAAAGTATTTGGAGGGTATTGAGCTGCGAATCCTCGCAACTTAGCTTTTGGTCACTAGGTGAGTTGAATGGCAGCCACAACCGAGCTCGCTGGTTAATTTCGCAGCACGGTGACCAGTTATTTGTTTAGTATGGTGCAGTTGGTTTAGTGTTCCTATAGAGTCAACACCATGATGTAGCGTCAAAGTTTCACTTCGAAAGGGAACCGGGTTTCCTGAGAAGGGTAACGAGGCACTGCATCAAGGTGTTGATTGGTGTGTGTTCACACGAGCTTCAGACACCGGTTCACAAGGAGCATTTCCATAGCGTCAACACCAGGAGGCAGCGTCTCGTTCCACTTCTCAGAGAACCAGGTTACATATGTAAATTTAACACGTTTTTTTCTCGAAACACAATGACTTTATTCTCGAAATTTAATGAGTTTATTCTCAAGATTGTATTTCGATTTTTTTTTCTCTAAATTTTTCGATTTTTTCTCGAAACACGACTTTATTCTCGAAATTTAATGAGTTTATTCTCAAGATTGTATTTAGATTTTTTTTTCTCGAAATGTAACGATTTTTTTCTCAAAACACGACTTTATTCTCGATATTTAATGAGTTTATTCTCAAGATTGTATTTCGATTTTTTTTTTTCTAAATTTTACGATTTTTTTCTCGAAACACGACTTTATTCTCGAAATTTAATGAGTTTATTCTTAAGATTGTATTTCGATTTTTTTTTTCTCGAAATGTAACGATTTTTTTCTCGAAACACGACTTTATTCTCGAAATTTAATGAGTTTATTCTCAAGATTGTATTTCGATTTTTTTTTTCTCGAAATGTAACGATTTTTTTCTCAAAACACGACTTTATTCTCGATATTTAATGAGTTTATTCACAAGATTGTATTTCGAGTTTAATTTCGCATTATAATGACTTTAATCTCGAGATGGTTTTATTTTTTTATTATTGCTTGGCCCTAATCCTCTTCCGTATTGATGAGCATAAGACACTTCATTAAAAAATAATATAACATAATTATGCCAAACTTTTGACCAGTAGTGCACGTGTGTTTCTCAGGAACGCAAGGGCAGAAGTGTCCAGCAGCATCCATGTGTCTCTGAGTGGCGCTCTGTTTCTCCTCAACATCAGCTTCATGCTCAGCGAATGGGGTGCCACACTGGGAAAGGAAGAATTCTGTGTGTTTATCGCTGTGATGATACACTACAGCCTGCTGTCTTGTTTCACATGGATGGCTGTTGAAGCCTTGCACCTGTACCTTCTTCTCATCAGAGTGTTCAACATTTACATCAAGAACTACATGACCAAGTTGTCCCTGATTGGATGGGGTGAGTAAAACAAAATACAAAAACACAGCAGCCAAAGTCTCATAGGACAACTTTAACGTCAGTAACTATGTTCACAACCCATTTTACTTTCGTAATATAGAATACAGTACTTCAGAGTGAACTAGGGTATTTGATGGGAAAAGGTGTAGGACTTGATTTCATCCACGGGGGTGTTACCTATGAGAATAGCGGAGGTGGTTGGAAGGAAAGTATAGAAAAGGGATTTGTGACAACAGATGAATATAATGTCTTTTAAGAGACAGATAATTTTATTACATTATAATAAACATTAAAATATTTATTGGATGAAAGATTAATATTTTTGTTTTTGGAATAACGTGCACAGATTATTCATGAACTTTAAAACCAGGAATATGTTCTACAAATGTAAATATGCTCATTTCAAGTTATCCAGACTTTAACCTAATAGACCTGATAATGAAATTCCCAACTAACATTGTCACAGATCTTGAAAGCTTTGGAGCACTTAAGTTTGGTCTCTTCTTAAAGAATACACTTGCAAATTATTGTTGACCTGAAAAAGTTATAAAAGCGAATTCGAAAAAAAAGTTATAGATTAGTTTATGAAATTTTAATATGTACTGCACTACATTTTTTACTTTTTTATATAACTGTAAAGATGTGTTAAAAGTTTTAGCATATCTCTGCAATAACCAAATGACATCCAAATCCACCTCTCTGGTTGTAATAGGTAGATCTCGACCTAGTTATGTTTAGGGTTAGGATGTGGCTTGACCTTCAAGCTCCACCCATTTCATCTAGAGAGGAGGAGCTGGATGTCAAGCTCCACCCACTGGCTTTGCAGTGAGCAGCCTCTCAAAAAGTGAGATTTTGTTTGGGTGCAGTACCAAACTTTTCCCACTAGATGACCTCCAGTCTCCATTGGCGGTCCATATAAGGACAAACCTATTTTCCTGTGGTTTGATACGTACTTTGGTACACATATTTCTTTAATCTTTATGTAGTGTTTCTTTAGATTTTAACAATTTTTAGAGACAAAATGAAAATAGATGTTATCAGAGTTCACTTTGAAATTAATTTTTGGTATGTTATAGCTTACCTCAAGGGCATACAAGATGTAGGTGTCTTTGTTTCCGCAGTAGTTTCAATTTTGATATTTTTAGGTCAAACCGTTCTTGTCTGTCAGTCATATAATGCAGGTCTATGGTCACCACCTCAAAGAGCATGCACAGAGAAGTCCAAATTAAACATGATTTAATGACTCGTAAATGTAAGTACACATTGATGGCCTAAGACACGAAACGAGCGGTTTGTGTGAGAAAACGAACAGTATTTATATCGTTTTTACCTCTTGTAACCACAGCCACGTCCAAGTGATCTGAGGGCGCGGGCGCTTCGGTCTGCGCAAGCGCCGGAAAGCGCTGGAAGTGATCTCTCACGCGTGTACGTCACTCATTGTTTACACAGAGATTTTGGAAGTGTTACCTTTCACTGTGAAGATCTAAACATATTTAGATATACAGGAAATCGCAATGGAAGACGATTTCGATATATCAACAGACAACGTTGAATTTTTTTCACAACCGCACGAGAGATCACTTCCGGCGCTTGCGTAGACCGAAGCGCCCGCGCCCTCAGATCACTTGGACGTGGCTGTGGTTACAAGAGGTAAAACCGATATAAATACTGTTCGTTTTCTCACACAAACCGCTCGTTTTGTGTCTTAGGCCATCAATGTGTACTTACATTTACGAGTCATTAAATCATGTTTAATTTGGACTTCTCTGTGCATGCTCTTTGAGGTGGTGACCATAGACCTGCATTATATGACTGACAGACAAGAACGGTTTGACCTAAAAATATCAAAATTGAAACTACTGCGGAAACAAAGACACCTACATCTTGGATGCCCTTGAGGTAAGCTAAAACATAGTACCAAAAATTTAATTTCCAAGTGAACTATCCCTTTAAGACGATATTAAATTAGACCAATCTAAATTTTTATGTAACTGATTTCAAAAAGTTAGGAACAATATTAAAGAAAAGAAATGTATGTGTAACTTGTAAGACTAGACTACTTGTAAAACTACCGGCCCCAGGACAAGAAACATAAAAAATAATAATTGAAGTGTGGTGGCTCATCCTGCAATCTTTTCCTCTTGACAGGAATCCCTGCAGCTGTTGTTGGAAGTTTGCTGACAATTCAAATCACTCATCCTCTTTATGGCACCAGAAATGTGACATTATCAAATTCGAATGCAACAAATGCAGTGTAAGTCCTCGCTTTATAACTTAATTTTTAGTTTGTTTTAGCTCTTTTTTTTTTGTTGTTGCTCTTTTTTAACTTTAGCATTGTTTATTGTGTGCTGTACAGTTGCTGGATCAAAGAGCCTCTCGTCCTGTATGGCGTGAACCTTTCCTACTTCACCGTCATATTCCTGTTCAACTTATTGGTTCTTCTCAAAGTGTCCAGACAGATCTTTAAGCTAAAGCAAGTGGAGAAAAAGAAGCATAAAATACCAGTGAAGGACGCGGGAACAGTGCTGGGCCTCATGTGTCTGCTGGGAACAACATGGGGTTTGGTGTTTCTTGGCTCTGGATATACCAACTACATTGTACTCTACCTGTTCTGCATTTCAAATACAATGCAAGGTAGGTTTGCTCTTAAAGGGATAGTTCACCCCAAAATGAAAATTCTGTCAGTAATTACTCACCCTCATGTTGTTCCAACCCCGTAAGACTTTCGTTCCTCATCGATGTCTTTAACTTTTCTCGGCCGGCAAGTTTCGATCCCTTAAGAAGCCAATGGAGGAGTGATCCAGCTCTCAGATTTAATCAAAAATATCTTAATTTGTGTTCCGAAGATGAACGAAAGTCTTACGGGGTTGGAACAACATGAGGGTGAGTAATTACTGACAGAATTTTCATTTTGGGGTGAACAATTTTGTTCGCAAGTTAAATTCGGTAACTTTGGATGGAAATATAGCTATAGAACCATACTAGAGGTAAAAAAGAGATGTCTGACTGTTGAAAAATGTAAATGTTTTCTAGTAATACATTTGCTTTCAACTTTATTTTTTGCCAGGGGCTTCTATCTTTCTGTGGATGTGTCTGACAATGAGGCCAGACAAACAGAAAGCAGCTCTTACCAAGTCTTTATCCACTGTGGACACCTTCACCATTGAGAAACAGAAGGAATAGCCCATGCCTAACATTTACCAGATTGCCATCCTACAACCAAAATGCCAAATTTCAATACGTTTTGTGAAACCCTTTTTTAAAAGTGATCTCTCTTTTTATATATATACATATGGTGCCACTGGAGGCACAACAATCCCACACTCTGTGTGTCTGAAATCTCCTCTACACCCACAGTGAACTATTTCTATGGGATAACCATTTCTAGTGGTGTTTAAAACTATAGTGGACATTATAGAGTACGCTCATTTAATCCCATAATGCACCACAGATATACACTTAATGGCTAGAGAATACCCTGTGCTGTGAAGGCACCAATATACTTCAAGTGAAATCAAATAATGAATAATAATATGTATAATCGTGTAATAAGTGGGTGTGGCTCTGAGCCTTCTCATTCATTCACTCACTTGGTCCATCTAGGGCGGCAAAGAAGACAACAATAGTTGTAGGTAATAGGTAATTCATGAATACACCAGAGTGCTTTTTACTGATTATAATTGAAATTCTGATTCAAGAAATAAAGATATTATTCGATTACATTTGCTCAGCTCAGCCATTTCAAACGTCTTTTCACTCCCCTTTTTTTAAATAGACAATAGTGTTTTGTTTACATCACAGTTCGGCCAGAGCCATTGAGATCGGTAAAGCTGCAGTTTATTCCTAATATCTAACAGTTTCTCCTCCTAATCTCCTCCATATCACTTTTGTTCACCCAAAAATGAAAATTATGTCATTAATGACTCACCCTCATGTCGTCCCAAGCCCGTAAGACCTCCGTTCATCTTCGGGACACAGTTTAAGATATTTTACATTTAGTCCGAGAGCTTTCTGTCCCTCCATTGAAAATGTATGTACGGTACACTGTCCTTGTCCAGAAAGGAAATAAAGACATCATCAAAGTAGTCCATGTGACATCAGTGGGTTAGTTAGAGTGTGTTGAAGCATCGAAAATACATTTTGGTCCAAAAATAACAAAAACTACGACTTTATTCAGCATTGTATTGTCTTCCGGTTCTGTTGTGGATCCGCGTTCAGTGCCGCCGCTGACGTAAGACGCTGCTGACGTGTGTCTGGTGTGTGTGTGTGTGTGTGTGTGTGTGTGTGTGTGTGTGTGTGTGTGTGTGTGTGTGTGTGTGTGTGTGTGTGTGTGTGTGTGTGGGTGTGTGTGTGTGTGTGTGTGTGTGTGTTCTGGTTCTGTTGTGGATCCGCGTTCAGTGCCGCCGCTGACGTAAGACGCTGCTGACGTGTGTCTGGTGTGTGTGTGTGTGTGTGTGTGTGTGTGTGTGTGTGTGTGTGTGTGTGACGTAAGACGCTGCTGACGTGTGTCTGGTGCGTCCGAGCTTCGTTTACAGTCTGAGGGAGACGCACGCTGGAAACAAAACAATCTTCGCAATAATGTCTAAGGATTTCCACACAGAGGAAGACTTTATGACCATATTTATTTGAACCCGAATACACACACACACCAGACACACGTCAGCAGCGTCTTACGTCAGCGGCGGCACTGAACGCGGATCCACAACAGAACCGGAAGACAATACAATGCTGAATAAAGTCGTAGTTTTTGTTATTTTTGGACCAAAATGTATTTTCGATGCTTCAACACATTCTAACTAACCCACTGATGTCACATGGACTACTTTGATGATGTCTTTATTTCCTTTCTGGACAAGGACAGTATACCGTACAATTATTTTAAATGGAGGGACAGAAAGCTCTCGGACTAAATGTAAAATATCTTAAACTGTGTTCCGAAGATGAACGGAGGTCTGACGGGCTTGGAACGACATGAGGGTGAGTCATTAATGACATAATTTTCATTTTTGGGTGAACTAACCCTTTAAAGCCACAACTTCATTGTCTATTTATAATGTAGGGGACGGGACGCTTTGGATTCTAGAGAGCATTTGAGTGATGTCATCCAAATCATTGATCCATATTGGCTGAAGTGAGAGACTGTAAGTTTTGAAGGCTGTGGTGCAATGATGTTTAACTATTCGTTGATGTCTTGCTCTGGAGGCAGTCATATTCAAACGTATTTGCCCATGTGACGTCATGATCCACAATATCAAAACAAGCTGTTTTTGGAGCTGGATTAAATAAATGCTTAGTTTATAATGAGGACGTTTTAAGCTCTGAAACTTGCAGGATGTTTTAATGGTACAAAGACCTCTTATATGTCAAAAGAGCAAGGCAAATATGATTTCTCATGTCATCACCCCTTGAATTGTGTTTTTATCTCTTTATTTTACCTTGTGAACCTTTTATAGTTATAGTTTTATAATTATATAGAGTATTTTATCATATTGATATCGTGTGAAATTGTATTGTCAATATAAGCATTTGTACAACTGTATAGTGTGAATGAGAGTGTATAGGCGATGTGAATTCAGATTAAATAGGACACCTTTTCCCTGTCATCTCAATAGCAAAAAGTGTCCCAAATCAACCTGAATTTATATATATATATAAGAATAAAGAAATCAGGGGTTGGGAACTATGCTTTTTAAAACAGCAAACAAGAAATTACTTTTCGAACTTCTTGAAGAAATTAATCTTGTACTTTAGAGAAGTTTCGCTATTTACTTTATGGATGTGGGTGGCGAGTGTTTCCTTTGTACTGATCATAGTAAATTAAGGTAATTTATTTGTCCTATAATATATATTTATTGCAACTGCATATTTCATTGATTTGTAATAAAAAAAATTTAAATGCTCTGTTTTTCATTCACATAATAAAACTACAAGACTAAAAAGTTCATGTGTAGGATTGTTGAGTCCATTAGCAATGCAAAAATACTGACTGTACATTTTAACTACAGTAATGCTATAGCTATGCCTCTGCTGAATGCATAAAATTAACTACAACATTGTGTTCATTCATATCCCACATTTGCAGCCCTATGCTAAAATGCTTTTAATTATTTTTTGTTTCAATACACTCCATACCGGAATGGAGAGTAGATTGATGTTGAAAACAAATTAAAGCAGTATAGCCACTGTAGTACCTGATGTTAGCCAGTATGCCAATTTAAAGGCTTTAGTTCCAAACATTTGCATATCAGGACAATGAACAGCTCTATATATTTAAATGCCAAAACACTAACATGGAAACAGTCATGAGAAAGATGGTGTTTTATTTCCTCATTAAAGTTGTTACAATGCAAATATTATTTTTCTGTAAAATGTGTTGCAGATCATTCATATCATGACTTGGCTCAGTAGCAAGTGCAACCCTTTTTAGTGCAGTTTAGTTGCAGAGTACACCAGCAGCCATATCATTATCATCAGCCATATCATCCATCATCAGCCAATCATCCATATCATCAGCCATATCACCCCACAAGTACACTTAATTTGAGAATAGACCTATGCCTTAAAGGGATAGTTCACTTTGAAATACATTTTTGGTATGTTTTAGCTTACCTCAAGGGCATCCAAGATGTAGGTGTCTTTGTTTCCGCAGTAGTTTCAATTTTGATATTTTTAGGTCAAACCGTTCTTGTCTGTCAGTCATATAATGCAGGTCTATGGTCACCACCTCAAAGAGCATGCACAGAGAAGTCCAAATTAAACATGATTTAATGACTCGTAAATGTAAGTACACATTGATGGCCTAAGACACGAAACGAGCTGTTTGTGTGAGAAAACGAACAGTATTTATATCGTTTTTACCTCTTGTAACCACAGCCACGTCCAAGTGATCTGAGGGCGCGGGCGCTTCGGTCTGCGCAAGCGCCGGAAAGCGCTGGAAGTGATCTCTCGCGCGTGTACGTCACTCATTGTTTACACAGAGATTTCGGAAGTGTTACCTTTCACTGTGAAGATCTAAACATATTTAGATATACAGGAAATCGCAATGGAAGACGATTTCGATATATCAACAGACAACGTTGAATTTTTTCCGCAACCGCGCGAGAGATCACTTCCGGATCACTTGGACGTGGCTGTGGTTACAAGAGGTAAAAACGATATAAATACTGTTCGTTTTCTCACACAAACCGCTCGTTTCGTGTCTTAGGCCATCAATGTGTACTTACATTTACGAGTCATTAAATCATGTTTAATTTGGACTTCTCTGTGCATGCTCTTTGAGGTGGTGACCATAGACCTGCATTATATGACTGACAGACAAGAGCGGTTTGACCTAAAAATATCAAAATTGAAACTACTGCGGAAACAAAGACACCTACATCTTGGATGCCCTTGAGGTAAGCTAAAACATAGTACCAAAAATTTAATTTCCAAGTGAACTATCCCTTTAAGACGATATTAAATTAGACCAATCTACATTTTTATGTAACTGATTTCAAAAAGTTAGGAACAATATTAAAGAAAAGATATGTATGTCTAACTTGTAAGACTAGACTACTTGTAAAACTAGCGGTTTATGCAACCGGCCCCAGGACAAGAAACATAAAAAATAATAATTGAAGTGTGGTGGCTCATCCTGCAATCTTTTCCTATTGACAGGAATCCCTGCAGCTGTTGTTGGAAGTTTGCTAACAATTCAAATCACTCATCCTCTTTATGGCACCAGAAATGTGACATTATCAAATTCGAATGCAACAAGTGCAGTGTAAGTCCTCGCTTTATAACTTATTTTTTAGCTTGTTTTAGCTCTTTTTTTTTGTTGTTGCTCTTTTTTAACTTTAGCATTGTTTATTGTGTGCTGTACAGTTGCTGGATCAAAGAGCCTCTCGTCCTGTATGGCGTGAACCTTTCCTACTTCACCGTCATATTCCTGTTCAACTTATTGGTTCTTCTCAAAGTGTCCAGACAGATCTTTAAGCTAAAGCAAGTGGAGAAAAAGAAGCATAAAATACCAGTGAAGGACGCGGGAACAGTGCTGGGCCTCATGTGTCTGCTGGGAACAACATGGGGTTTGGTGTTTCTTGGCTCTGGATATACCAACTACATTGTACTCTACCTGTTCTGCATTTCAAATACAATGCAAGGTAGGTTTGCTCTTAAAGGGATAGTTCACCCCAAAATGAAAATTCTGTCAGTAATTAATCACCCTCATGTTGTTCCAACCC